TAGCCAAAAGACACTCTTACAAAAATACAGGAAAGACTGGATTAACTTAGCATTTCTAAATTCTAGAAAAGAAATACTTATTTTCAATCTAAATTTTTAAAGTTTAACTTATAAAAAAGGAATTAATTCTTATATTGGTATTACATGTTAATTGGCACTTTTTTTGCCTCAGCAAACTTGTTTTCACATACTTATTCAGGCAAGCCAAGTTATGCGGATATGTCATTATTCCAAACAGAAAACAAATTGTGAAGAGTTGGCAGACGAAGCAATGGGAGAAAATTTCAACCACATGCTTTTTCCAAGTTTAAGCTGAGGGCAAACAGCCCTGCCTTGATGGTCCTGTTGCACAGATAGCCATAAGGTTAAGTAGTTTGTGTCAATTTCAATAAACAGCAATCTAATAAAGACCTTTATTTTCCAAAATTAGAAGATGATGTCTGAAGGTAGTTCCCCCTAAAAAAGTAATCAATGCCACACTTGCCACTATTTATAGTTTGTGTTTAATCTTCAAAGATATTCTATGACATAGGATGTTACAGCGCAATCTTATAAATACCTACAGTGGGACTTACTGCCAGGTAAGTAGGCATAGGATTGCAATCATAGTCTGGCAGAGATAATAACTTACTCAAGGCAATATATTGCATTTCAGGACTAAGTCAAGTTTGAACCATGTTTTCCAATTTATACCTACTGTAGCCACTTCAGCATTTCATTCTCTGTCCCAACATATAAATATATTGCTAATTAGATTGTTTACAAATCTCCTGCTATGTGCAGATCATCCCCCTACCAATTATTATAAAATAAAGTTGTTGCCCACTTAAACTGAATAGCCACCTTTTCTTTCTTATTTACTGAATTCAGGTGCAATATTTTAATAATGAAAAAAAAACCTCAATGGACACAGTCACTTGAATTTAGTTTACTAATCTTCATTCCAAAACATGTCACTTACATTCAGTCCATTATGTAAGTGACATTTGAGTTTATTGTATGATTAAGTACTGAACAAGTTGTAAATCTGAATCTTTTTCTCTTCTTTTGGACTCTCTATCTTCTCTTATTTTGATCCTTTCTTGACCATTCAAGCTGCAAATTGTTATCTTAATCAAAGTAATTTCAATAAGACATCTGAACAAAATTATTTAAATCACATACCTTTTTAACCATGTTTATATTACTACATGGATTCTGAAGGTAAGGTATATGATCTCAAATATGTTTTCCAAACATTGCGGCAGCTTCATAAAAATGTAAAACAACTCTTGAAAAACTGGTTACTATAATATTTTACAATGAAAATCAGGCAGCCTGGGCATTTTCTTTTTGGTGGTACAGATAAAGGTTTTCTTATACATACACTACTAATATTAATGTTTCTTAACTGGGAAGAAAGAAAAGAAAGAAGAATTAGTTTGTCTTCCTGTTGGCAGTTACAAGCTGTATGAATAGTGTGAAATGCCAAACAGCATGCAATGTTCCTGTGAAACTTTAATATTCACCCTGCTTCCATCCATACTTACTCGTAAGTATGTTATGCGGAAATCCATAAGAAGGATAACAGTATTTAGAAAAACAGTTGCTTAGGCAACTATTTACAGTTTCTCCTGATGTTCAGGATATCAAAACAGTTTTAAAGACTGCAGCTTTACAGCCTGGTTGAAGTTTGCAGATTCTGATCTGTCAAGAGTTCTAAAATGTGGATGTCTAGAAGTGTCCATCTTCATGACCACAATAAAATTTATTTATTTATTTAACCTATGTCTGTCTTCTTTCCTTCCAAAGAACTCAAGCCAGCTAAGGGCCTTTAGTAAAAAGTTGCTTCTATTATTTACATTTCCCATGCAAAACAGAACCACACTCATACACAAAGCATGTATAATTCTGAAATTTTTACCATTCTTATTAAAATAAAATGATCCAGGAATTAGAAAGGCAAACTAAAATTTCATTTTTTTTTTCTTTTGAGATGAACTGCCCTCAGTTCTCCTCCCAAAAAGTTCAGGATACTTTGGAAACCCTGTTTTATTTATACTGAAGCTACCAGTGTGAATTAAGGGCAGCTATATATAGTTCATCTGCAGCACTGCACAGTAAGCTTTAGAGAACATGGAAGCTGTCAAAAGGGATCAGTCCAGTGGTATACCTACTGCAGAGCACTAGGCCTGGCTACTGCTCTGAGGAAAATAGTTGAATAATTGGGGTTAGGTGAAAATGATGGACTCCAAATTTTGAATACTAGCCAAGTACTATTTAGAGTTCGGACAGATGGATTACTTCTTAGAGTAGCCTCAGCTTAGAGCAGGGCAATATTATCCCTTGAACGGTGGCCTGCGGGTGACCACCATCATGGCTAGCTGGTATTATTTATGAAATTTTTATCCCATCCTTCTCCAAGGAGCTCAGAGTGGCCTACAACAACATTGTAAGGCAAGTTGAACTAAGAGAGAAAGACTGGCTCACACTCACACAGTGAACATCATAGCTTGTACTGATTTAAACCTGAGTCTCCCCAGTTCAAATCTGATGCTCTATGCACTACATACTCTCATCTAGTTCATTACAATATGGAAACACACCCTGCAAATGAGCTGCTTAGAAAAGCTTGTTAGTGGAACAATTGCGCTCGTCATGAATTTTCTCCCTTTGGTCCTCTGCTCAGTACCCAAGAAACTTGGTCTTTCCTCTCCTGACTGTGATTGGTAACCCTTTTGTTTTTTTCAAGTTTTAACCGTCTTCTTCTTTCAGTGTACCCCAGAGGCATGTAAGAGATGCTATCATTGGTTCAATATCCCATTCTTTATTTTATTTTATCACAAACTTGTTCATATATTTTATTTTTGTTTTTTTAAGTTAGTCAATCTTGTGCAAGTACAGAAGTGCATGCTTGTGGGGGTCCCAAGCAAGAAGCCTCACCATGACAATATTCTGGGAAGTGTCTACTGTCAAAGTGCAGGAAGGGCCAACTATGGGCATTGGCCAGAAGGGTTGCAAAGAGGAATGGAGAGTCTCTTCCACCAACTTGCAGTGAGATTATAAGATTACCTATGTGCTTCATGTAATTCCTCTTATTGAGAGAACACCAATGCAAAGGTCTTCTGAAACCCTCTGTTGTTCTAAAGCCACTTTTATCCTGTTTAGGCCACTGTCACCATTTGTGTTGGGTGTACCCCAAGCACTGCTACAGTTTTTTGGTGCAAATCTACTTTAGAGGCGGAGCACAATAGTTTAAAACCTAGTTCAGTCATGGGAACCCTAGAGCCTGAAAGTCAAGCTCAGTCTAGTTTCCCTCTGACAGAAGGTTGAGGAAAGGGGGCTAGTTTGAGCCTGCTCAGGCTGTGGATTATCAGAACAGGAAGAGCCTGGCCTCCCATCTGATTACAGACAAAAGGAGAACAAGACTCCTTTTTGACTCCAGCTGCAAGGTAAAGCTTTCAGCCAAGCTTCTTATTTGATAGCATGATCAATTTTCTGTGGGAACCAATCAGAGAGTGTGAGCTTTCAGGGATGTCACCCAGGTTGAACAGTTAACTGGAGAGGGTGGAAGAGATATGTTTTGCAGCATTTGGCTCATTTATATTTCCGTTTATTTATATTTCAATGCCACCAATTCCTATTCTATTTACACCTCAGGGACCCCGTTAGTTCGTAAGTTAGGCTCTATTACCCTTCCTCTGTACTGAAGCGCATGATTAAACTATGTAGTCTTTGCTAGCAACATTATCTTTATTGCCTGAAACACTGTCCCCTCACCTATTAACTGAGCTGCCTGACACACTTCTCACTTCAATTTCCCAACAATCTGTAATCTTCTCTGCCTGAAACATGTATCACTGAGAAACTGCCTAGAACTATCCTGAATTCTAGATCAGTGGATGTCTGACAGCATGGTTTGTAAAGACTCTGCATAGGAACTTCTCTATCACCTGGTGCTCTTTCTCATCTGGATTTACCACAATTTGAATTGCTCAGCATACTGACTTGCCTGGTCCTATCATGGATTACAAACTTGAAACTCTTGCCTGCCCAAAAACCGTTACCAGGAGCTGGATCAGGGCAAGTGAGCCTGTGTCAGGAATGCCATATTTAAAGCCTGCCATGTTCCCCTCCTTGGACTCAGTGTGACCTTTGAGTAATTACATCCCTTGATCTTTGTGTCTTGACACATATACCATAGAGATTCGGAATCTATTGTTGGACTGATCTCTGCTTGTGTGTGTAAATTTTTTATAGAGTGTTAACTATTATGCTTTTGCTGTAAGATCAGCTATGGTAAAAAAAAGTCTCACTGCTTTTTGTGTTCTGTGCCAGGGTGCGTGCCAGAAAAAATAGGTCACGACAGTTTGCCACCATAATTTGGCAGCAACCTGCCATCTGTTTACTGCTGCTCTGATTTGGCAGTGTGTGCAGGTGGTACCCTTGGGAGCTTGAAATTGCTCCCCCATCTCCAAAGATGTCCATTCCAGTCTTATGCTCATGCTTTGCAACTGGGTGGCTCTCTGCCTGAGTGAAAGGGTGGTGTTTTTATTGGTCTTGCTCATAAGAAGTATTATTTTAACAATGGATGCCCTGCACTCCCAAAGGATGTCAGTAAAAGTGTTCCTCACTGTATCAGAAACTTTCGGTCATGTTATGACTTTTTGCACATGTCTGGAATCAATCACAGAGGCCATTCCAGTTTCCACAATCTGTTCTGAAGTTTTGCCAGAGCAGAATAATTTTCTTCTATTCTCTGCCAAAAATATGTAGAATGGAACTCTGCCAGTTCCAGCTGGCAACATGGAGAAAGGGAAAAAGACCAGAACATGCCAAGGAGAACAGAATCTTCCTCTCACAGACGTGTTAGGTCTTCATCTCTCCCTTCCTCCAAAGTTTGGATTCCAAAACATTTTCTAGAAAACCTAACTTTTTTGTGCTCCTGGGTCTGTATATTTATGGAACTAGAAAGAAGGTATGATATGGATCCACGAAGGCTGCTAGTATTGTGTACTTACAGGAGGATGTATTCATTCCTTCAGTTGAAGCTGGAATCTTGTCTACAAGTTCTGCAATACACAGAAGGCAATATGATAATAGGGATGCCACAGTCTTATGTGTTCCCAAGTTTGAAGCTTGCCTTCCCACGAAAGGCAAAACCATTGAAAGACAAATAAAATGACAGGTCTGGACAGCAGCTTCTTCTTTAAAGCAAGTACAGAGTGTCCTAGTCACCCTATGAATAAGCAATTAACACAAAATATTTTTTAAAACAATGTTCCATTGTCCTTGGCAAAAAGCTGGCAGAGCTTGGGGAAATGTTTTCAGCTGTCTAAAAGCACACGATATGCCAGCCAAAGGCTGAGAAGGGCTACTTTATGAAATGTATTGATAGAAGTGCTAAACAGTTCTGGCTCATGAAAAAATTGGCTTGAAGATGCTAGGTTAGACAAGAAAAATGCTATGTTTAGATGGCTCTACAAGTCCATGGCAAATATGTTAGCAACATACATGCTAGGAAGGGAGGGAGTGTGGTCCTGAAAGACAAGTTTAAAGAAATGCCGCAATGGCTGGTGCAATCTCAAGTATTTCTGAGGGAATAGAGCTCAAAGAAACTCGACCTAGTTAATGTAGAAGTGCAAGGTAAGGTATTAGAGAAACTGACAAAAGAATGGATGACTATGAAAACTAGTGAAATAAAGAGAATTTGGAAGGAAATTGGAATTGTTTAGGCTTCTGAAATGTTCGTGTTGGCTACTATTACAAGAGGAGTAAAAGACCAGCCAACACAAGACAGAGGAGCTCTTTAATTGAGTGTAAAACCTACTTACATCCTATGACCTGATAAAGCTTGTCAACAGGCCGAAGACAATTATAAAACATAAATTAACTCAGTTATTCTTGTATTCTTCCTAATATTATTCTTGATCTAGTTTAGAAATGCCAGCATTGAATTCCATAGCTAGCCTCTGTTAGACAAAAGAATTTCAGAAAAGTGAAAGCAATGCGGCATTTATGGTTCTAATATACTATAAATGTGACAAATGAACTGAACAAGTAGCAGCATGCGGTATGAACACAAGAAAACTGTTAGACAAGAGAACTCAGTCTTGTTGCATAAAAAGCAGTTTACCAAAAAAACAACTAAACCCTGAATAAGCTGCATTGTAAACATTCTGTCAACCCTTCCCTGAAAGATAACATAAGAAGGCCCTGTAAGGACTGAAATGCCTCCAGTAACAGGAAACATAAGTAAATGCATGGACACCCCAGAAGGGAAGCAGAGACAACATTAACTATAGAGGCAAAAGCTCACTTCACTAAACCTGAGTTCTATTCCTTATATTTCTCTAAATTATTACAATTCTGCTTTAACATGCTACAAGAGGGCACATGCAATAGTAGAAGAAATGTGATGCATCCTATCCCAGGGCAAACTGAAAACACTCCATTAAGAAAGAAGAAGAAAGGATGAACACCTAGCACTTTGCGAACCTAATCCTTAGAACTTTACCATACATGCTGGTTGTTGCAATAGATAATTTAACGCCATTTTTAAAGATGCGAGACACTAAATTCCAAATAAGAGCTCAATATTGCATCAAATAAAGTCAGATAAATTGATCCTGGGAATTATATTATTCTACTAGCCCTCCATATGCCTGAGATCTACCTGGGGAAACTGAAAAGATTCAGAGAAAAGCTAAGCAAAGATCTGAATCTGTAGAATTACCTCCAGGGAGGCCAATAATTCAACTTGACTTACGTGAGAATGTATTTGCTCCTTTTGTCAAAACTGGTATCATGCCTGTGGATTCTGTAAAAAACAAACAAAAATCAAAAGCAGTTACACATGTCAGTGCATTGCCATGTGTATAAGGAAGGTGTCCGATGAAACTTACAGCAAAGAAAACAAAGCAAACTTTGAACGTAACTCAAATGCCAATATAAATCGATAGGGCGATGTTTTTACAAGAATCTCTTTTTAGAGAAAAGGAAAATGGTTGAGAGCCATGGCTAGAAAATGTGAAGAGCTAGATCCTCTTGAGGGGCGAACAGGTCTAAGGTTTTAGTTTCTATGCATCCCACACTCCCATTAAAGAATAACTAGTAGTGTGTGGGCCAGGGATAATGTATTTCTCAAATACCATGAATGGCACAACCAAAAATGTTTGATCTAAGTGGAACCTGCAGATTTCAACAAACTACACCCCAAGGAGTATTTCAAAAAGTGATAACAAATAAAACTAGCTCTGACCATCTGTTCTCACAATTTTTTTTACAGCTAATGCTGCGTCATGATGAACACAAAAACCTAAATTTAGTTCATGAGATATACATGGCATGCTTATGTTTTACATGGAACTCATGGGAGGGTGACTCCATGTAGCTAATAGAAAGATGCTGGGATCTGGACCTCATTGATGGAGAGTCTTTCAGTTTAGTTTTTTAATCAACAAAACAATACTTTCGCTCTGTAGTATGAAAAGCCATCATGTGTGTGTGTGCATTCATCATCAATGCGCATTATGGCCTTATGAGTGATATGATACATCAGTATAGAACATTAGAAAAGGAATTGATAATCTCCTTCCAAGATGGAACAAAACCATTCTGGCCCTGTATAGTTAAGAAATCTCAGACATCTGATCAGCAAAAACCGCAGAGGAATGTGGCAAACCAATATTTCATTCCTACCATACTTTAGAAATCTTCTTTCCTGTGTAAAAAGCATGACAGTTTTCTTTAATGTTATCCAACTAAATCACACAAACTACTAGCTGTTCATGTGTACTATATGTTATGACTTCTAACAAATATGTTCTTCAAAGCTTCTGAGAGCAATGAACAGCCTTTCTTTTGCATCCTCCAGTTCTATCTGAATTTGAAGAATGAAAAAAAAACTTTTCTTACAACTTGCACAGTTATTTATTTATTTATTTAGAGTTTTTTGTATGCCATCCCATCGCTTAACGCCTCAGGACGGTTACATTTATAGATAATTTAAAACAAGTGGGGAGTACTGAGACAAAATATTATGGTCAGTCTAGGGAATCTTTTAAAAGCATTATATTAAAGAAGTAAGCTTTTCATATTAAAGAAAGTACAAAATATTAAGCTTTTCAATGGCAATGTTTTTAACCTTCTATGTTCAGTCAATTCAGTTTCCATTAAGTTATCATTCTTTTTTCCCCTTTCTACTAAAAGTTCTTCTTGTCAGCAGGTTATGCCACTGTAAGATTTAAGAACAAAGATAATGTGGGATTAGAATCCTGGCAGTCCATAGAAACTACAAAGCTCAATAGTAGTAAGGATCTTCACAGCTTTTGTAGGTAGTTAATCCCCATTCAGTTTTAATCATACACAGAATAAGGAAAGTCTCTCAGCAGAAGTGCATAGAGATACTTTGCATCTTTAAAAAGAGCTTTATGGGAATGATTTCATTAATATTTTTCAAGAATCATAAAAAGATCAAACTAGAATTAGTCACTAATAAGTTGAAAAGCATAACAGAGGAAGGCAGCAAGGAAGAGGAAGATCTAAGAACCAACACTTCATGAATCACTGGATACTTGAAACATGACTGGAAGAAAATTCAGAAAAAAGATTTCCAGAACAGTATCAGTTATTGCTGAGCATTGCTGTAACATCTTGGTTAAGAAAATGTGATAAAAGAATGGAACTTATCACTTCAGCGCTCACAATTTAGCTCTGAAGTATTAGATGTATGGCAAAAAAGAAACAATGGTTTATGTAAAGAAGATAAAATAGACATTGATTTGCATAAATCTTACATATGCCAATACAGAAATGGAGATTTAGAAATAATTAGTATAATTCAAACTGGAATACAATATATCTCAACAAAGTAAGATTGTGCTTCTGTGCACTCAATATTGGCACATGCCTTTTGTATGCAAATGCTATTTTGAGTATAATCCCCTGACAAAGGTTGTTCCGTGATGGGCAACCCCAGTCACTATGGGGTAATCACAGGATAAACAAGCCACAGTTAACCTTAGAACTGATCACAGGTTATCTCTGTATTGTTTAACCTACAATTAGCCCAACTTTGAGATCACAGAATAAATACCAATCAGAGGCTGTGAACTACCAAGCAGTCAGTCAGTTAATTAAACCCAAATCTGCTTCCCTTACATATGAAGCCTAAGCCATCTTTGGTGCTCATTGTTGACAGTTTTTTACAAGAACTCAGTTCTCCTTTTTGTTATGCTTTTTTTCCCAGTCTGGTTTACTCCTTCCTAATGTGCAATAAAATACACAAGTGATTAAATTCATTTAATCACAAGTTTAAGTGAATACAAAATTCTGTGTTTTATGTTCAAATGTGCATAAAATGTGTATTTTACAATAACATTCATGTGAAATGTATGTGAATATTTGTGTGAATTTCCACCAGCAATAAACACAGATTATGTCAAAGTAGGATGAAACAGATTTATGAATGGACACATGCAAAAGTGATATAGACTATAAATAGGTTCTACATTCCTACATTTGGTAATTCTTTAAACAGAGGACATTTTCTAACAATGGGCTGTCCTCTGACAGACTTTCAGACTGAGAACTCTCCTCTGCAAAACAGGACATATGGCCGAAATTAAAGATGAAGACATGGCATCTAAGATGTTTGTACAGGTTGGCAGTGCAGAAGAGCAGATAACTTAAGTTCTTGCAATTATCATCTCCCACTTGGTTCTCCTACAGTTCATTGTTTAGTTGGGTAAGCTATTGTGGATTGTGGGAGGATTCCAGATGAGAGCTGTAATCATGTTTGGAGGAGCCTTCACTGATAAGAAGGGCTAATTTGTGTTATTGTTTAATTAGTTGTTGTGAATCAACAAATCATGGATTTGGGGATCCATGCAACACCAAGAATATTTGCTTGATTGGTTTTATTTGAATTCCACTCGTCTTTTTTTTTCTATCAAGGAAATTGATAGGAACTCAAAGTGAATGCAAAAGTTTCCATCAATGAGTACAAAGAATGAGCTAACAAGAGAAAAAGGAGAAAGAAGTGAATCTCATCTAAGCGGTGCACAGTCGAAAAGGAACTGAGGGAGTGGGTGGGGCCCCCTCTCTATAGCAGGACTACAGAGGGGATGGGCTGCCCTGCTCACTCCCTGACGCGGAGCCGTAGAAGTTTCTTCTGACCTAAGCCTTTCGTTCTCACTTAAGCCTGTGTGTTTGTGTGGAATGCACAGAGTAGGAGTGTCATATGCACTCCAGCACTGACCAAAGACGGATGGCAACAAGATTTCTGGAAGGAGCTACAGTTGTCTTCTAAATATTTTCCTGTCTTGAAGAAGTATAGAGGACCTCTGTCTTCATTCATCTCTGTTCACAAAGATGAAGTACTATTTCTAAAAAGATTAGTGCATTTTTTAGTGTTTGATTTGAACTTCCAAAATATTCTCCAGAATTAAAAAACAGTCTCCCATTTTTCCATCTATATCTGGTAAAATGGTATGAGGAAGGAATAAGGTTGTGCAGGCACATAGAAGCAGTATTCAATGACACGCTGTTGACATAAATTATGTTGCGTTACTGCAAACAACTTCTAGTGCAATGTCAATTTTACTTTCTGGTGCAACAGGTTTCCTGGAGAAAACTTGAGTATCAGTAAGTGCTATAAGTAGTTTACACTAGTGTAACAATGTGCATTTGTGGAACTGCTGCACTGGATACTGCCTATAGTATGTGTGTGAATGTTAAAAGGGAAAATAAATTAGCCCAATATATACTCTGAAAGATTCAGCCAATATAATTTACTGACCAGTTGAAAGAAGAGTTCCTTGCTCACATTGGAAATTCAGCAAGTATGACTCCTAGCATCAAAGCAACTTTCGGTCTGTTTGGGATCTCAAATAATTTGTACTTTAAAAAAAGGAAAGGGAAGGGGGAAAAGCAGATGATGTATGGCAGGGGTCCTCAAACTTTTTTAATAGGAGGCCAGTTGAAAGGCTGCGGTGACCATCGTGGGCCGGTGAGGTGGGGGTGCCTGGGGGTGCTGGCCAGTGAGGTGCCATTGGGGGCGCACGAGGCGGCATCGGGCACACGCAGCGGTGACTTGCTCAGAGATCTCCCAGTGAGTCCAAAACCATCTCTGAGCGAGCGAGCCACCACCTCCCCGCTCACGCTGTGAGGCAGTGGCAAGCGGCGTGTACAGGAGGCAGGTGGTGGTGACTTGCTCACTCGGAGACCATCTCTGAGTGAGCAAGCAAGTCCCCACCTCCCCACCTGCGCAGCAAGCACGTGTGCGAGCTGGGAACAGTGGCGCAGGCCGGATAGAAGGCCATGGTGGGCCGGATCTGTCCTGCGGGCCGTAGTTTGAGGACCCATGATGTATGGGCTTCTTTTAACTGTTCCTTAGAAATTTTTAACTTGTTTATCAACCTCAAGCCACATTTAGCGGTTTCTTTTAATGAACAACTCACAAACTGTCAAATCATTTTGATAAGAAAGAATGACATACTTTTGATACTTTCAATGTAGTAAGTAATCAACCCAATAATGTTTGTCTTATGCTGCAAAACAACAGATGGGGCTACAGTTCAGTGGAAGAATATGTTTTGCAGTGATTTTTATTCATTTATTTTAAAATATTTTTAAGCAGCCGTTGAAGGTACAAGAACCTCTCATGCAACCTGCATGCACATAGTCCCAGGCTCAATTCTTGATATTTTGGGAAGGGGCATGAAAAGGCTCTGATCTGTAATAATGCAGAGCTACTGGCAGTGTAGACAGTGGTGAGTTATACAGTATGAAGATGTGACTTAGTATACTGGAGCTTCATGTATTCATTTAACTGGAACTGCTCTTGTCATCTCCCAACTCGCATTCAAGAGAAGACAGACCATAGCTTATAGGAGCTTTATAAATTCACATTGGGAGTTCTGCCCATTAAATCAACAAAGACCAGATGTTAACCAGAAATCTCATTATAACTGCAATGAGCACAATGTATCTAAATGGGTTGTTGTGTTGCTGCTGCTGCTTTTACCACCTTTGGTTTTCTTCTGTCTGAGATTTACAGTCAGCCTGCACAGCTAATAAAATACACACACACACAAACAAATATAGTATGTTCTTGAAAGTAAGTATAATGTTTTCAAACTGCAAATGAAATGCCTTAGGCCAATGCAAATTACAAGGTCCTGGCTCTTCAGAAAATAATTATGTTATATAATAGTATAAATACATATTTAAATATACTATATTTGGCACAAGTATCTTGATAATGTCAGCCTTAATTTTCACAAAGTATTATCAGTACCTTTCAGCTGAGTATAATATGATACTTAAAATAAGTTACTTAAAAATCCATACAACAAAGATGTAGCAAGACTCTTTTGTAGAGAAATAAAGTGGCAAATTAGTTTGTGAAAAGCAATTAACACAAACGTACCCAAACCTCAGTGTTTGCTATTTATATCACTCCTCTGGAGAACCTTGCAAATCTTTCCTGACCTCAATTACACTCTCCTAAGGAGGGCTGCAGTTGAAATGTGGCAAAGTAACTTTCTTTACATCCACTATGGAAAAGAGCTCTTGCAATTTTTAAGAACAGATGAGTTACTAACATTAAGATGGATTAAAAATGAATGTGGTCTTTAAGTTTTCTTTGGGTTTAAAATGATTATTTATTTGAGGGTGAGAGGTGAGAAATCCAAGTCTCTTGCATTAAGGCAACAATGTCAATAAGTATTTGGCTAAATGGTATGAAAATGTCTTGGAGGGCACAAGGGAGGACCAAAAAGCCTTCAGGTAAAATAGTTAGCAAAGAAGGAGGCAAAAGAAAACCAGAAAAAATGAAAAAAGTTAAAATAGTGATGATGATGATGATGATGATGATGATGATAGCAGCAGCAGCAGCAGCAGCAGCAGCAGCAGCAGCAGCAGCAGCAGCTTAAACTGAAGAAACGCAAACACATTTTTTCCTTATTGTTGCAGCCGGGAACTGACAGCATATTCAGTTCTTGATATCTGAAGGCCAAAAGCAAGATGGTGGCGCAAGATAAATACACCCTCAGAAAGAACAGACAAGATGTTCATTAGTTAAAGACAGAACTTACCTTTAGAGAGAGGGTGGGCAGTGCATGGGCCATGGGCTGCTTATGACCCACCTAGTCTTTTTTGCAGTTCCCACATCCCCACACTGTAGAAATTTGTAGTTCAGCAAAACCAAACAAATTTCCCCTTTAAAATAAATACTTTGTCTTAAAGGGAAAAAGTGGCTTCACCACATCACTGAAGCTTGGCAGCAAATTCAGCAACACAGCAGTAATTCTGGAAGCAGCTAGAAAAGTATAGCCCCTTTGGTGGAGAGTTAGCCCCCACTCCTCTAAGCTGGACAGAGAACATAAGCAACATGAATGAACGACAGTCTAAAATATTTGCAAAACAATTTTTTTAAACACTAAACGATAAAATAGCATAGTCATTGCTTTAGAGTTGTTCTGAAACTATGCTTTCAAGTGGTTTACAAGTTCACCAGCTCTCATCAACTTTAGATGGTCTAGCTCTATATGCATAAGTCCTACTTTAATATGCGAGGTGTCTTCAAAAAGTTTCCACACTCTTGTATTTTATAGATATATTGTATTTATTTTTTGCTGATGGAATTAACAAGCTGGTATGACACTGGGAAAAATGCATTGCAAGGGAAGGTGATTATGTAGAAAAGTGATGCAATTAGTTTTTGGAATTCTTAATAAATAGAGCTTTTAAAAGTGTGGAAACTTTTTGAAGACTTCCGTATAATTTAGCATCCACAATTTAGCCATAAAAACTAGAATAGTTTCCTGCAATTTCTGAGTGCTGACTAATAAACCTCAATTAAAAAAAAAAAAACTACCAGACGGCAGCCCCAAAAGGAATGAACTATTGCTTACTACTTGTTCTAATCACATCATATTTAACAGGTATTCTAATTGCATCATATTTAAACCTTTCCCATTTATAAAACCAGCTTGACTTGTTTCCTCAAAAGCTTCTGAAATATAAGGTGTCTGCTGTAAGATGGTTGCTGTGGTTGTATCAAACAGCAAGATATACTAAAGTGGACAGTCAATTATCTTTTATTGGACCAATGCCTGTTGCCAAGAAATACACCACCTTTGAATGAAACGCTTTAAAATCTTATTTTTCAATGATGACATCCATTTTACTAAGCAACCACATTCTAGATGTTCTCAACATGTGCTACAAAAATTTTACTTAAAACCAAGCTTTAATTTCACTATAGGAAATGGTATATGAACTCTGCTAGAGTTTTATGACATACATTTTAGGGCTTGGAATTAGATTCCACCACACATTCTATGATCCTTTCCCCATTCTTTCAGCTGGAACAGAGTACATGAATATTCTCCTGCCCAAACATGTGTCCATTTATCTGAGTCATTACTTCAGCCTAGCATGTCTGGCTGCGTCCTGACTCTCTGGGATAACACCGGGAACTGGTAAAGCTATTCCAAGTGTGAAACTGTGCAGATTTATGAGCAAACAACTCCTTTATGTATGGGAACTAAGTAAGTTTACAAGGGAAGAGCAAAGCCTGCTTAATCCATTATTTTAATACCTCTAAGTCAGTACTCCAATATAACAATTAATATTTTAACAGTATTACAACAATTTAACTTACCACAACAATGTTATGTGTTTCATTTTCACATTTCTAGTATTTCATCCTGACTAAATTTACTTTGTTCATCCATTTAACATTAGAGATAGATGCATCTGTTCATTTCTGTGCTATTCTATTTCTTACTTTTCAGTTCAGTTCAGTACAAAAATTCCTAAGTATTTTGATACAATCTTTTCATATACTGTAAGGGTAAGCTTTACACTTTTTGTAAAGATTACAAATCCTGATGGAGTAGACAGAAATTCATATATCTTTTGAGATAAGTAAAGCAGAGCTGTTCTGGCTTAGCCCATGGCAAGAACAAAGCTATAAAGATATATGCTTTTCAGTTTAGAAGTTCTATTTTAGTCTCATTTTCTGCTCCTAACAATCACAAATCTAAATTACATTACCTGAGGGAAGATAATGGTTTTAAGGAGCTTTGTATAACCCATACTGTAATAATTTGTCAAATGAGGACAGTGAACTGATCAAAAATCCATACGTACAGAAGGTGAATTTGTAATGACTTTTGTCAAGCCAAACAATGAAATACTCAAAACATGTGGGTGTAGTTAAGCAGCTACGTCATCTGAAGATGACATTGGTTCAAGATGGGAAGACTGCTATGCTAACCTCACACTTAAGGAAGCCTTCACCCATGAAAAACTTTGAGTTGTACCTACTTAAATGTAGAACAGGACTGATAGGGTAAAATGCCATTTTAAAGGATGTGTTTTTCTTAACTAGGTTTGAAACTTATGTATTAGGTAAGGCATACTTCCTTCTAAGTTGTCTTGAAAGATGTAAAAACCCAATTCATACATGCATATTTTGGGCCATATTATTTGGAGATTGTATTATTTATATTAGGCTGACTTTGTTTTCTATAAAAAAGAGTCAATGCAGTGTAGTGGTTAAGAGCATAGGCCTGGGACTCAGGCAATCTGGGTTCTAGTCCTTGCTCAGCCATTGGAGCCAACCAAGTGACTTTGAGCCAGTCACAGACTCCCAACCCAAACAACCAGGATTGTTGTTGTAAGGATAAGACTGAGAGCAGGAGGATGAGAACCATCTAAGCTGCTTAAAGTTCTTTAAAAGAAAAAAGGTGGAATATAAATCAAATAAAGAAATAAAGCTGTCAACCTAAGTACTTCCTTTTCCAATTTCAATGCCCTTGTATAAATGTATTTATGTGATAATGCCAACTATTCTTGCATGAATTCCTTCTACTGCTGTAATAATAATTAAAAATTAACCACATCTTACCATTGATGTCTGTAATGATTATCTGAGCTTTGGTGCTGTTGTTTCCAAACCTGTTGCTCGCTTTACATGTATACTCCCCAGCATCAGTCAATGAAGCTCTAGAAATGCGAAGTTCTGAGAATGTCCTAGGGAAAAGCAGGATGAATAAGCATTACACCACTAACACCTGCAACTCCGAAAAAGACATTTTTGCGTGTTATTCAATGGCATTAATATTGCTGGAATAGAGAACAAGCATTTTAATGAACTAGACAGGCTAAAGCTGATTTAGCACTCTGTGAACTTTTAAAACTATGTATCTGTTTAATATTTTGTGATATTTATGTGATTTGAGCTACCTTTGAGTGAAGTTAGGATGTAACTGAGTAGGACAGAAGCCTAACTTTACTACTCTATCTACTGTCTAAAACAGTTATGACTGCCTTGTTTATTGGTGCTACAGAAGAAATGGTTTAAGCTGAATTTGAACAAACCTGGAGGGCAAGTCTATTTTTGTTTGCATTGGTCAAGGGGGTTAACATTTGTGGCTTGAAATTCCTTAAAAACATGATTAGTTCTATATCTTAACCAGAGGATTTGTTAAGAGGCAGTTGAAGCTGGAAGAGATCAGAAAGGATGTGTTGTGTGGCAATGCCCATATGTGACTGCACAGAGAGCAAGATATAATATCATGTATAATATGATGTATTATATTGTATAATAAGATGGTCTGTAAAACAGAACAAACATATTATTTATGTGAACCGTCCCAAGGCTATAAGCGATGGGGTGGCATACAAAAATTCTAAATAAATAAATAAATATTACAGAATGCCATTTTAAAGGGTTACTTGGAGAGCAGGAGGCTGTGCTGTAAAGTAAAGCTTTAAGCAGAGAGCTAAGTGCAGAACTGAAAGGGTTCAGATAGGGGGATGATGAGGGGGAATTTCAGAAACAAAATCACCCAATGCTGGAAGCCAGAAGCAGCATAAAGGAGGCAGGAAAAGTCCTGGTTTGCATCAAAAAGCAAATCATGGTTTGTTTAGTCAAAGAATTACCAATATCTAGTAGGAGTGAGCAAGCATGCTGTTTCCTGTGCACTTGCTGTTTTTGTTTTCAGTTAAAAATTCAGGAACACTCCTCAGTTGATAATGTGATGACCAAACTCAGAAACTCTGTGTTGTTTTGAGGTTCAACAACCCAAAGTTAGCTCAACCATAAAACCTGCATTAACTTGGGGTTGTTCCTCAGTTGTTTAATGGACTTCCAAAAGGGTTGATTTTTGGTTGCAGCAATTAAATATGCCATAATGATATAGCCACTGCCTTGTGACCTGGAGATCTAAGTACTGAATGCAGATTACACAGGTAGGAAAATCTATGTTGTTTTTCCACACTTGCTGACATATCTTGAATTACCTACAAACTGGTTCTCCTCATTCAGTGACCTTGGTAGTACAGCCTACCTAGTCTCGTCCATACTCTCATTCAAAACTATGAAACAAGGCTTTGGGATTTTCCAGGCTGCCACTGTCACTACAAATACTGATGATAAATTCAGTGTATGAGAGAGAGTTTTCACAGTCTTTAAACACAAACAATTCCAGTATTGATCCGAGGGCAGAGGATGCAGGCCATTCAGAGGTTATACCCTCAGATCTATCTTAAAAATAGATCTGAGGGGGGTCCCAGGGAAACCAAATTAAATTTCTGGGGATCCAAGAGTATTTCTTCAGATACTGTCAGAGGGGCATAGATAGATTTAAGACTTCACAGAGGCGGATTTCTCCACATTTCAAATCAAAAGGCATGTTTGTTTTCACAAGATAATTTGTATAGGGAGATGCAGAAAATACTCAAAAGCAGATCATCCTTACATGTACATGTTCATTGTACATGTGGAACAAACCCTTGAAAAAAGCTAAAGTGGATAATCCCAGATTGCACCTATTGCTTATTTTTAAAATTTGTTTGCATCACAAATCAAATTTACCTCAATTTAGCTATCAGCTGACCATATTTATCTTCAATATTTTCCAAGGTAATTGCAATGCCTGCGTGTTTATGTGTATTTGCAAGCACACATGCCTTTCTCCCTGCACTCTTCATGGAATTCTGCCTAATGACTGCTTTTGTTTTAATATATTTGCATCTGAAATACTATTTGATATTTTAGTTTGACAAAAACTTAGAAAAGGCCAAGTAATATTAATTCATGTAATTACTGGATTATTTATTCAAATGTAATATTATTATATTTTTATTGCTCAAACCTACAGGGTACTTTTCAAAATAGGTTTTGCCAATGTGGCTTACACAATTAAAAAATAGAACAAGCACAATTAAGCAGTAGCATGAAATATTAATATTTAAAATAATCACATTTGCAAAATGCCAGCCAGATAAAAAAATAAAGTCAAAAGAAAAAAAAATACCCAAAAAGATGATTTTGTGAATATGTGAAAATAGGCTTAGAATGAAATAAATTCAGAGAGCTAATTAGGTGCCTGAATACAAGAATACCACAGAAGCAATACATTCTCACTGCTTATATGGATAATTATGGGTGCTTCTGCAGAGCAAAGCAATGCACCGTGTGAATAAGCTGCAGACAACTGGGCTCGCTTGAGTTGTTCGCTTGGTCCTCCACTGGGCACCCTACTGCCACTCACTGCGCCACCCATCTTGTCTTCCCTGTTCCAACTGTGACCACTTTTTGCTGGTGTCTGTGTGTGTGTGGGGGGGGGGGGGAGTGCTGTAAAAAGCGCAGTTGTAAATTCATTGCAACAAGCAGTTGTACTGTTTTGGGAGAGGGCAAAAATGTGCACAAATATATTTGGATCCTTTTCTGGCAGTCTTTCCCAGTTGCATAAATATGCTATTATGGTTGTCAGAAATAAATGAAATCTTACTTGTCAGCTTCTACTTTCAAACTGTAAGCAGAAGGAAGAGGCAAGATTGCATATAAGCAAAATTGCAAGCAGTTGACAGCTATCAGTTACTTAGTACTGCAACTGGAATGTACCAGGAAAGGAAACAATACAGAGTAGGTGTGTTAAAGTAGTCTAAAGTTCCTTAGCAATGTGTCCAGGTAGTCAAAGAAAAAAAGCCCTGAAAAAGGAGAGACCTTAAGATTATCTGTAATGGTTGGAACATTAGATTAGAAGATCCACCCCAAAAACCCAACTTAGCTATTAAGCTTTCTAGGGCCAGTCATGATCTGACATGAAGATAAAATGGAGAAAGCAATGTAAGTCACTTTGAGCTCTTTGAAATAAAATGCAGTTATCATAATAAATACTGTGCATTGTTTACTATTTAGATCAACTAAGAGAGTAAGCTTTCAAGCTTCTCAGAATGCTACACTACAAATTCTGCACTACTCAACCATCATATAAAGGCTTAAACTTACTAAATTTACTTAAACTTACATGAAAAGTTATATTCTGTAAAAACTCACTGCTATAATTACATTAATTATACATTAAACAGACTTTTATTTCAGTGATAGAAATGCAAAACTTACACTAGACAGAGATAGGAGGCAGGAATCACTAATATGCTTTCCTTTCATCCAAGACTGTAAGTTGTACTGGTCTTTCTCCATCCCCATAACGTTGGCAAAATTGGAATGTTACATTTACAAAACTGTCAGGTGCTGATGTCAGACATGGGGTATCATACGTGCTCTAGGCAAGTCTTGCGTGAAGTGTTTTGTTTTTTGGGTTTTTTTTTTTGTGGGGGTTGCTGTTGTTGAACTTGACTTTAAAAAAGTGATGACGACTTGTGGTGAAGAAGCACATCCCTTCAGGCAGTTAGCGGTCTGCAGCCTCTGTCCTTTATAAACATGGCTGTTTGTACAAACCAAAAGAGGTGCAGTCTGGCCTGTCTTGCTGACTGCCAGCATAAGAGTGGACAAGCAACTTAAAGTAAATGCTATTGATCCCACGCTAAGCTATCACAGAATCTTTGAGGCAGACAGCAGGAACCTCAGCATGTTACCTACAGCTCATATACATTGCAACAGAGCAAAGACATCACACAAAAACTCCATACATCATGTAGGGTCTGTAACATTTAGATCAGGCATCATGGAGGGAGAAACTGAATGCCAAGGAGAGGAACAGAAGCACTGCCTGCTTTGATTAGCAGGGCACTATCACATTACTCTCAGGTTTTATTCAGGGCTTTCACAGGAGTGCCCATAAGCATTGCTGTCTTCTGAATGTGTATGCATGAAACCTATTCTGGATTGCGGAGCAAAATGAAAGTACAACCAGTCAGTAAAAAAAAAAAATATACAGTTTTATTGCTATTGGAAACCAATTAGAAGCTTTCCTTGTATGTCAGAAAGGAAGCTAATGTGAAGTGCTTGTTTCTTATGAAACAAAAACTATGCCCCAGTCCATTAACTCCAGGGGCTCATTATGATCTTTTTAATTACTGTTTTATACAGCCTGCATGCATTTTGAAATGTTCCTTGGAAAATTTCAAAGGGAAATTTAATTTTATGTTTGATTTTCACCAACACTATCAGAAGTCAGCATTATTTCAATGTCTTTGAGAGAAATAATATGCTATAAGTGTAACGGTGGGCTTCCTGAAATATTTGTGTTTTTGTTTAATTTACTGAATAATAACATATATTTGGAAATTCTGTATCCCCATTCAAGTAAATATTTATATAAAATATACTTTGGGGAAATGCAACAGTAATACTGCACTGGTGAGTGGGGCTACATAGCATGTAATTGTTTACTTGGAATCAGAAAATTACAAGCTTCACTTAAGTCCTCTAACCCAGGGGTCTCAAAGTCAACTTACCTGGGGGCCGCTGGAAGTAGAGTCTGGGCGAGGCTGGGCTGCATCAAGTATTCCACCACCGCGGTGGGGGTGGGCCACTCATCCGGATGCCGGCCCGGGCACCACCGGCGCTCTGAAGGCCGCAGGGCCCCTCCCCCGTGCCCCGCCCCTCCCAGCAATTGGCCCGCAGGCCGCGAGTTTGAGACCCCTGCTCTAAACCATCCCACACTTGCGTATTTCTAAGATGACATATATTTCAGGTATTATCTACATCTATTTTTTATCCAAATCTGATACAAAGAGATTTCAGTGTTTTTAGCTATTCTATCATCTCTTTGACAATCTCTGGAGAGGTTTGAACATCTGTTGGATGTCTGACCATGAACTAGTGCAATGTGGTAAGATGCTCCCTTCCTACATGCTTTTGGTGGGATTGTCTGCATAATCAAAAATCGATTTGGTGAAAGCATAACCGGCAATGCATTGTATATGCATACTGTCAGTTCTGATAAATGCTTTCTCCTCATTTCAATACTGTGACGGTTGGTTTTTTTTTTAACAACCAAAATTCAATGTTAAAAAAGTCTAGAGATATTTGTTTATTTTTCAGAGTTTATTCAACCTCTGCCAGCCATGAAAATGAACAAAGACTTATGAAAACCATTATCTGAAGCCCCAGGAATCACAGAGAAAATGCTAGGAATCCTGTACAGTCTCTCCTCTGATTTTTTTTTGGGGGGAGGTTGCCTAGCATTTCCGACACACTTTAAAGCTTTTCCTCATAGCCTCAGTAGTTCAAATGTACTTTCTAGACCAGCAGTTCTGAAAAACTTTATGGTTTCAGTGAATTCATCTCCAAGAACTGATTCATCTGCGAAGGAATCCCTGAATTACTGCCAAGGAAATTCAGTGCACTGCAAAGGATTCGGTGTCATGCTATAAAGGTCACACTCATCATCACCCCAAAGAGCTTAGTGCACACCTTGGAATACACATGGTACTGCCCTGCAGCTTAACTCTGTAGAGGAGGATTGGGTCTTTTGAAGATGATTGCCAGCTGTTACTTTCCTTCTTGCTGAGAAGCCTTCGTAAGCTTACAAGGAAACTGACATCTTCTGGACTAGCTGCTTGCTTTTTTTTCTTTTTAATAAGCACTGTATTTCTCAGTAGGCACCAAGTTCTCTATATAATACCAAAATTCTGTGCTTGTATGTTGTGACTTTGATACATGTATAGTCATGCCAATGGACATCTCTGGAGTTACAAATTAAATTTCTATAAGCATGTAAGGGAACTTATTGAGCAATATTAGTACTAAGAATGAAAAGATACAGGTGGGCCAGTATTTACCTATAAATCTAAAATATTTTACTCTTTAAAAAGCAACTTTAATTCATCTTCCAGTAACCTTCCTGGAATACTTTAGTCCATATGAGATTTTTATGCTGATCTAATAGTAATGAAGCCTCCTCTACCAGTCCTCCCTGCATAGTTGTTAAGCAAAGTATTTTGTTTCAATCAATCAGGTTTGGTTTATGTTTTCACTGTAACAGATTCTTTCATTGATATCATTAACATAGTGACTAATGAGGACAAAACAGCAGAGATAATTTATATTTCCAGTAGTGTAACATTCAATTTAAAGCAGAAAAATGGTGACTTAAAGGTTAAGTGCTTTTTTAAAATTCTGGAAATGAATACTGCAGTCATGACAATAAGCCTAGTAAGCTCTCCAGGTACTTGTTCTTCAAAATGAAGCTTCAGAAATTATGTTCTCTCTTCCTCTTATGAGAAACATATGCCAAAATCAGGGAGGTGGAGGCCACATATACACTGATATTTGATAAAGCAAGTCTCAGTCGGGGAAAAATCACCAATTATCTGGCCAGGGAGACTTCTTTTATATTGTTATTTATTTTATATTGTTAATTTTATATTGTTATTTTTGTATTTTATTGTATTTTATTTTGTGCTGTGAGCTGCCCCAAGGCTTCGGCAAGGGGCAGCATAGAAATGTTTTAATAAATAAATAAATAAAATCTTTATTTTAATTTAATTTATGGTGAGATTTTAGCTTCACAACAATTCTGTGAGGTAGCTTATGCTTAGAAACAGCAATTCAAATGTTTTTGTAAGTTTCACAGAAGATTAGGGATTTGATCCTAATCCCTAAGGATCAGGGATCCAAACTGAATATATTCCATGTCCAAACCCAGCCTTTATACCATACTGACAGCAATGTATTAAAGATTAAAAACTGAACTATCCAGGTCAATGAAAAATGAAGTTAATATCCATGGACCCATGCAACACAATTGCCAGACATTCAGGCAAACTCTGGCAATAGCATCTGGGTCCGTGAACTTTTATGAGGGAAGATGAGGCCAACCAGGAGATAATCCTTTCAAAATGTAGCAAGTTAACAAGTAAATAATCAAGGGCCTCTTCAGTACCTTTCACAAGCAACCATTTCGGCTATCATCCTATGGCCATCAAATGCTTCTGAATGCCACAGAATAGGTTGGAACCCCAAAATTTTTCCAAGGCTGGAACTGGGGGAAAGTGTTTTAAGGTCAAAGCTCTGACCATAGAATGCCTTCTCCCTGTCCTTGTACCCAATATGATTCTTTGAACAATGGCTACAATTTCAACACGACAATTAAGACTTCAGAGCTGGCACATGGAGGAGGTGTTCGGTCTGTTGAAATTCAATGTATCCTGGAGGTGCCTCAGACCCTCCTCCCAAGAAGGGGCAAAAAACACTTGCCTCTGCAGTCCTCCCACCCTTAATTGGATGACACTCTGCCACAATGGATGCCACCTTCAGTTTCATGAATCTGAAACAGCGTGGATACAAAGCTGTTTTAAAAAAGATTTTAAAAAGTCTGCATGGGTTCAATCTTTACACAATGACAAATAGGCTACACATTAGATATATGAATTATAAATTGAAACCTGTCCCCATGGAACAAATAAAGAAATTAATTAGTTATGCTAGTTTATTATTATGAAACAAGATATGATAGAAGCTACTTCATAAATCCAACCAGTGGAAATAAAAGGATAATCTATTTCCATCAATTTCTCTTTCTGCACATCCACACAACACATTGTTGGGCATGGTACTGGTAACACCTGAATCCTGGTAAATAATTCAAATTCTCTCTTACATCTTAGCTTTTGAGATACATCACTGTATACTTACTTTTGTTTTTTGGGGCTCTTGATCTTGATATTTTCCGGTCTGTTTCTTTTTGTTATTTCTTTTCCATTCTTTAACCATTTGAATTTGAGAGAGGAGTGCTCAGAACTTGCTTCGCATCTGAGAACTAGTGTCTGACCCACAGCAGATTCCTGGCTTTTCATCTCTTTCAATTTAGGTGGCACAGCTAAAGAAAGAAAAAGTGTAAGTGACTAGGTAGTCCTTGAAAATGTGACAAGTGACATTTGGGCAATTTGGGCCATTTAAGACTTACCAAGTTAATATATTCTTTACATCAAAATTGTGAAGTTTAGCAAGTACAATGAGGTGGGGTGGAAGAGCCAGGGATTATAACTATTATTATTAATTTCATTTCTATACCTCTCAATACCAGATCACTAGGAATTGCTAATTCATGGAAGCCATGTGTATATATCAAGACTATTATCCCATCAAGAGCAGTGATAACCACTGTAACTGTTGCGCCTGCACCTCTATTCACATTTTATGGGTCAAATATCAATTAATGTCACCTTCCAATGAAGTGGTGGGGGGAGGTATCTTATCTCACTCATATCCTCATTGTTATTTTGTAATAGGCACTTGCCTCCCCTGAAAATTATCCAGTACCAGAATAAACTGAATGTTTTAGAAAAGTTATTTTTTTCTGAAGGTATACCATGTTCTGAATATTTAAATGCTTTAGATCTTACACATATAACTTGCGAATCCAGCTGAATAGTACATCTAAAATTTCCTCTGAAAAATGAGCATAATTGTACCCTATACTGACAAACAAGTCCCCAACTCTCAGCTCAAGAAACTTTGATTTGTACATGTTTTTCATTTTTTAAACCCTTCAGTTAAGAAATACATTAACTTGATCCCGCTGATAGCATAACTGAGAAATTGCTGTGTAAACCTAACTGATCCTGGTGCACCTCACTAAGCACTCGTCCAGACACAGCTAAACAGAAGAGTTCACTCACAATGTTGTTGCCAAATGTTCCTACTTCATTTTATTTTTATTATATTTATTATCCTGCATTTATTCCATCATGAAAGCCTACACAGCAGACGTATGGTGTCCAGCTTGTCTCCCCTGCAGTTAATAATAAGCAGACCAGATTTGGAGGGCAGCTTTCTCATGTGCCTTCAGATTATACCTCGATCTATGGCCAAATTCAGGGAAAGTCTGTTATGCAGTACAGAAGCAGAGGTTCACTGTGCATAGTATTTTGTGGCTGATGGTTTTGACATCAGAATCCAATCAAATGTTTACATATTTTTAAAGAAGTTTTTTTAAGGACTTGTATTAACTTCCAATCACATAAAACATGCAAGCACAATTTAAGAAATGTTTTTAAGGTTGACAGTCCACTTGAAACCTATGTGTGCATGAGTGCACATAATCAATTGCCAACTCTGCATTCAAATAGGAGGCAAATATGGTAGCTGATTGCATAGCGACAATAGAGTAAAATCAGGCCCATTCAACTCAATGTTTTAAAATTGTGACTGTTTCTTTTAGAGATAGATCCTAATTCATAATATTTTCCTGTTTAAAACCACAGGATAGCCTGGCAAGCAATACTAAAATTCCCTTGGATAAGTATAGTCTGACTCCTAACGGATGCTTTTCCCCGTCTAAACAAGCATAGAATTGTGCCTTAAGTCTACTTTATGTGTTTCCTACTTTCTTTGTCAATCTAACATTCTTTTAACATGCTTAATTAAAACAAAAACAACCCAGGTTGCCTAGAAAGGAATAGGGAAAAAATGATCCTTTGGATATCAGCTCCCAGCTTGGCAGGCTGTTATTCAATTCGCTCTTCCATCATGGGTCATTGATTGACCCTGTACTAGCCACTTGGCTGCTGTGGTTTTCCTACTCCACAAGAACAAGCCACTTGCACTTCAAAGGAATGTGTTTGGGAAGAAAAGATGTCACAAATTACAAATGAACCTTCATGGTGTAACAGTAAGCCCAGGAAAATCACAGGGATGTGTGAGTGGAGGTCTCATTGACCTCAGTGAAATCTATCTCTGAGAAAACATGAATAAGACTGGGCTGCACAAACAATGATATCCTTATTTTTCTCCATCTTAAACTTGTGCATCAGACAGATGGTATGCTACAAAAGCCAACCAACACACATTTACAGCACAATTTTACACATAACCACTCAGAAGTAAATCCTATCAATTTAAGTAATTCATAAACAGTATTTCAGTTTTGGTATTACTGCTCGTATCTTTCCTGTACTCTTTCATTATTGTTATTTCATCATTTTTCACAAACATAATTTATATTTCAAAAATAGTTCACTGCATCCAAAATCCTCCACTGATTTTCCCAAGGGGCATCAACATCCTTTGAAGGCTACACCATTTTTTTCAAGGTGAAAGAAAGAACTGTATGCATCAAACTTTATAATGAACTAAGATTTTGAAGCCAACAATCTGTGACCAGAAATAGTATTTCAAAAAGGCTCAGGGTTCAATATAATGGTTATTCTCATACATCATGGTAAGCCATCAAGCCTGCTTTAATAAACCACAATGCACTTGAGCAACATTTGCCCCTTCATGTGAATGGTTTAACAAACTAGAAGGCTATAATTAAGCATACATTCCCATTATACCTGGACTGAGGACCATGACTAATGTCTTCAGAACAAACTAGTATCAGAGGCCAACTTTCAAGCAGTAATGACACAAACTGGTACTGTGCTTCTTGGCCTTCCAGGACTCAAGAGTTAAACACTTGCCTAAATATGTATCTGCACACATGTGTATGTGTAGATATATGGGTGTGTGCACGCCTGTGTGCATGCATGTATGTATATATACATATATTATACATCAGACAAGGCAAGCCCTAATCTACAAAATCTCACTCCGCAGTAACTGTGTTCATCTTTAAGGTGTCATAGAATTAAAATAATGAATCTTTTGTAAGAACAATCTATAGTTCTGCCTAGTTTAAAAATGTATTTCTACTACGCAAATATACTTTATCTTGAGGCCACAACCAAAGCCAAAACAGTGGAAAAATCAGCTCTGGTGTTTAATCTGCATTGGCATTCACTGAAATTTCAACTACCTCCAGTCTCTGGAACCCCGATCTTTTTTATCAGTCATAAAGTGGGATTGTTTCTCTTAAAGCTGCTTGTTATCTAGAAGGGTGTAGGTTACTACATATTCAACAATCTGTTATTATCTCACTGCAACCAACCCCACAATTCTGTGGAAGGAAAGCGGCAGAGGTTGTTTCACCAGGCATGTCTCTAGATACTCCTTAAATTATACATGACTACCTAGTATAATTGTTTATCTCAAAAATTTGCCGTAGGCCTCAAAATTTCTGGTTTCTGTAATGAACCTCTGAGACATACAAAATGAATAAAGAGATTAATTTTATTGGAGTTACTGTTAGTTGCAAAAAGCATAAATCTCTTGGAATGAAAATAGAAGATTACTAAAGAACTTCAGGTAGAAATCACATTCCTTGAATCATTTTTAGTAAATAAGTCTGGTAGTAAAGTCAGTAAAAATCCCCTTATTTGGGGGGTTGGGAGGGAGACCTAAAATGGGCTATGGAAGTGTTCCTAAACATTTTTTTTAAAGTTTAGATATTTCTATACTGCCTTTTTCTTTTTTGAAGAACTCAAGGTTCTCTCCTACCCCAACAACAACAGCCCTGTGAAGTAGGTTGCGCTGTGCATCTGTGACTGGTTCAAAGTCACCCAGTTGGCTGCATGGCTGAGTGGAGACTTGAACCCAGATTGCCTGAGTCCCAGACACATGCACTTAACTGTCACGCCACTCTTGCACTTGCTCTGTTAGCACTTTACTGAAATATTAAAAAATGGAAATTAAGCAAACCTCTTATAAGAACTACACCCCCCCACCCCGCCAATCGTACCTACAGTTCTCACAAGGGCAACAGATAGTGTGTATATGTTGCATTCCTTAATGTTTGGAAATTAGTTTTTTGTTTTTTCCCTTTAATTTTTAAATACTCCATAGGCACAACTTGTTGAAAAGAATGGTTTACAAGGAAGACTTTCTCCAGGATACATGTATCTTTCTAATTTGCACAGTCACGTATTTTGAAGTCATATTGTGATCCTAAAGCTACTCCAAGACGGCAAGTAGTTTTATTATTTATTATTATTTATTATTATTATTATTAGAACATTTCTATGCCGTGAGCTTATGAACTATCACACCCCTTGACAAGGGTGCCCATGACCTCCTTATTGTGTTCATTCCATTATAAGCTTCCATCCCTACCATCCATACTGCATCTTAAGGAGCAAGGAGTAAGACTGCTGCCAGTACAAATGTTTTGAAACATTAGACTATCTGCTTCATACGCAAGTTTCATCTGCAGATCTTGACCAATGGTTTAAATCAGGGGTCTCAAACTCAACTTACCTGGGGGCCGCTGGAAGTAGAGGCTGGGTGAGGCTGGGCCGCATCAAGTATTCCACCATCGCGGTGGGGGTGGGCCGCTCATCCGGATGCCAGCCCGGGCACCACCAGCGCTCTGAAGGCCGCAGGGCCCCTCCCCCGTGCCCCACCCCTCCCGGCAATTGGCCCGCGGGCCGCGAGTTTGAGGCCCCTGGTTTACCATGTACATAATTGTATATATACCCACATTTATGAAATAATAATATTATGAAAGGTTTCTTCTATATCTTCTGGTGTGTTTTTATAAAATTCTACAAAAGTGCACGCCAGAATTTGTGGTACTTTAAAAAGAAACTTGCAAAATGGTCAGGGAATTAACATGAAAAGCTGGTTTGTTGCATCAGAAAATGTTAGGAATAAATGTAATAATCAATAATCAAGCAGTGCTGCAAAATAGTTGTAGACTCATTATTCTACAGCTGTCTAACCCTCCATAATTAAAAAAAGAGGGACACTCAAATCACCCACATGTAAAGGCAGGTTGCTTACCTGTAACTGTCGTTCTTTGAATGGTCATCTGTGCATTCACACACTTAGCTCCTTGCCACCTATGCTGCTGTGCCCATGTATGTGACCACACAGAGACCACGAAGAACAACTGTTTTGCTCTTGCCCTGCCATTGCCAAGAGGAGCAAATAACAGAAGACATTTTTCATCAGGTATCAACAGCCTTGAGCAAGTTAGGGTTTAAGTCCTGAAAGTCAAAG